CAAACGGAACCCCCTTGTCTCAAATATGAGTTCCGAAATGTTTCTGGTAACAGGACGTGCTGGACTAGTGGAGAAAGGCTTGGACTACAGTCAACATAGACCCAGGTTCTCGGCCCGGCCAAGGTAAGACTAATAAATAATAATGTATAGTTGTATTTACAGGCAATAGATGGCGAATACGGATAACTTCACGCGGACCGGCGCGGAGGGGACTGACGGCGACCGCGAAGATAGAGCGGGGAAGCACGAGGAGAGAAAGAGAGACCTATGGGAAGAGTGCGGGGTAAATTTTTTTTTCGCGCAGTAGACGCCTTTTGACCACGATGTCACGTGACCGGATATGACGTAGGCGAATCTTAAGGGGCTTATATCTCGCGAAAGATCGCACGTAGGGGGGTGCTTCATTAGACATTTATTGTTCGTACGGGGGAGGGCTACCCGTTGGGGGGTGGCGACCCTTTGATTCGGAGGGTAAATCTTACCAAATAACGTTACAAAAACGCATTCCGTAACCTTACAGGTTACAGGCCGCAAATCTAGGTTTAATTAAAGCGTATGTAATTTAAATTATTTAATTTTGATATAAATCGAAAAATATTAAGTTACCTACGTTACGCGAGTTTTCATTATTAAAATTTATGCGAAAAATGTAAAAATGGAGGGAAAAAGAACTCGCAATTTCCGGAAAACATTCTATTCCAAGATGGCGTCGACAACAATACGAAATCGAACGAATTCGAATTTGTCGTTGCAATGCGTCGCGAGATTTACGTCATAGGTGTAATATTTCAAGTATTTTAATTGCATTTTTTAAAGGCAAGATTCCTTTTAACAAATTCTTTTGTCTCGGATTTGGCAAAATATTTGTTAAATGTAAAACTTCGCTAAAAAGAAAATGTATTCAGATAAACGTAATAAAATTATCTAGATGACACAGAATAAAAAATAATTTCTAACAAATAAGTAGTAGTATTTATATTAAGTGGTTCAGCTGCTCTCAATAAATTTAATAATTACAATTAAATTAATTGGAAATTTAGAATATTCTGAAAGAAAAGAATTGTCCAGAATGAGACTCAAACCCACAACTCCTGATTACCACGAATCCATTACATTACACGGACCTCTTTCTGATTTTTATTTCTAGAACTGTTAGTTAATTTAGATATAAGCAAGGTCACTTAAAACTGTATTGTGTTTGTTTGTTTTTTTTTATAAAAAAAAAATTGTTAAAAAACCCATTCAAATCTGTATAATAGTGAAATCTGGTGGTCGGAGGTAATATCCTGGAAATGCTTAACAGATCGTTTTTATTTATGAATTAAACACCTTGATAATATGTGTTTTGCATCAGTGCTATTCATTGGATATTTTATTATGCTTATTATAATATTGGAAAGTTAAAAACAGTTGTAAAATAAAAATGAAAATCTGGAATGAAAATGGTCAAATCAAATAATGAAGTAATGTATAGTGCATTCTGATGTTTAGTACATAAACTAATGACTATTCAATAAACACTGAAGTTTAATTAAGGCATAAAGATAAAGTAAGAACATAGTGTGTATATTTATTTTTGGCCAGAATATGTAATAAAGTCTTTACAATTATAAAATATTCTTACTAATGTTCAAACTTTGTAGGAGACTGGAATACACTAAAACAAAAACAAGCACATCCATTGGTGAACCTTAATTACTTCCAATATGCATTTAATAACAGTAAACTCAGATGGACATTTTTGAGCTATGTATAAGTATAGTGTAAAGCTTATTTTCACAATTTGTAAATGTAAACCTCCTATCCCCTATTTCCATTGAAATATATAGTATATAGAAAAAATTTGTGTAAAAAATCTACTCCATTGGTGAATATTTACTGGTTGTGGTACTACTTAGGAAGGCGTCCGTAGGAACCCGCCGACGGGTTCCTACGGACGCCTTCCTAAGTTACGCGAGTTTTCATTATTAAAATTTATGCGAAAAATGTAAAAATGGAGGGAAAAAGAACTCGCAATTTCCGGAAAACATTCTATTCCAAGATGGCGTCGACAACAATACGAAATCGAACGAATTCGAATTTGTCGTTGCAATGCGTCGCGAGATTTACGTCATAGGTGTAATATTTCAAGTATTTTAATTGCATTTTTTAAAGGCAAGATTCCTTTTAACAAATTCTTTTGTCTCGGATTTGGCAAAATATTTGTTAAATGTAAAACTTCGCTAAAAAGAAAATGTATTCAGATAAACGTAATAAAATTATCTAGATGACACAGAATAAAAAATAATTTCTAACAAATAAGTAGTAGTATTTATATTAAGTGGTTCAGCTGCTCTCAATAAATTTAATAATTACAATTAAATTAATTGGAAATTTAGAATATTCTGAAAGAAAAGAATTGTCCAGAATGAGACTCAAACCCACAACTCCTGATTACCACGAATCCATTACATTACACGGACCTCTTTCTGATTTTTATTTCTAGAACTGTTAGTTAATTTAGATATAAGCAAGGTCACTTAAAACTGTATTGTGTTTGTTTGTTTTTTTTTATAAAAAAAAAATTGTTAAAAAACCCATTCAAATCTGTATAATAGTGAAATCTGGTGNAATTTTGTCGAAATACCTACATGTAAAATAATAGTCTCTCTATTGTTTTTTAAATTTAGTTTTATTATCAAATATATCATCATTTTATATTGATATTTTATTGATAAACAATTTTTGTTAAGTTTTTTTATACTATTTTGATGCATATATAAAATAATTATTTCATTACTTTTTTCTTATTTTTTTCATATCAATTTAAAAAAAATTATAATAAATTGCTTATTTGTCATCATTGCTTTTGAATACTATGAAGGTACTGTAATATGCATCTACATTGTGCATGCTTTTCAAAGTGCAATGCAACGCTTTTTAAAGTATATACAAGACACAAGTGTCCATGTCGTTATTCTCTGCTGGTTGGCCTGGTACTGGGACTGGGAATGTGAAGGCCAAGTAATGTGGTTTGGGCGAACTCGTGCATACACGTAGTGTTGAACATTACATTAACATGCGATTAGTCATCGTTTCTTTGCTTACTAGATATCTCGTAACAAAGTAGAACTGACAATGAGTTATCTTGAACTACACTTTAGTCATTTTTTTGGAAATTTACTTAAGACCCTAAACTTTGCGACACCCCAATCGTGGCGCCGTGGCTCCCTAAGGTGCCGCGGCACCCCGGTTGAAAAACACTGGTCTGAGGTGTATTAGCATTGTTAAAATTACATCTAATTATCAACTTAGAATATTATATTTTTAATATTTAATTACATTAATTAATATGATTTCCTCATAGTGTAATTTTAAAGGTAGGTATTCATTTGACATTCATTTTTTCTCAAGGCAATATAATGTAGAGAAAAAATGAATGTCAAATGAATTGAGTAATACACAGAAATAAGATAATATGTAATAAATTATGTCAGGGTCGGACTCTATTAATCGATGTACGATTAGACTATGTACTATTAAAGTAGTGTTATTAAAAAAATAACTCGGGTGTTCTTTGTTTGACAGCTACTGCAGAGCCGGCCCTACCACAGGGCGAACGGAGCAGCCGCTCCAGGCGCTAAATCCCAGTGGGCACATCAGTGGTAAAGAAAATTAAAGGGTATAAATTAGGGGCAACTAAGAGGGCGCCATAAAAGACTGGAGTCTAATTACAGAACGATTCTGAACTGTAGTCTAATTACAAAACGATTCTGAACTGTAGTTCTGTTTTTTACCACGAGATGTCGCTAATTCGTGACGTCAAGAAGCTGGACAAGCTTAATTCTTGGTGTAAATACACCAGTCAGAATTAATTTATTACGAACAAAATTTGCTACTGTTCGTTTGTTGAACGTCAAAATTGTCTTTTGTCTAATGTTCAATGTTTATATTATAAGATGATTATTGTTCATTATTTTTATCAAAACATTTAAAATTATACGGTATGTTATAAAAGTTATTCTACAGAACATGTAGACTTTCGTGCTTAAATTCTTTTAATTTCAAGATTTTCCTGCTGAATTTTCAATCTTTACTCGAAATTTTTTTTATTTGTATTATTTAATAAAATTATTCATTACTTTTTAGAAATAATTTAAACGTTTTATATTAGAAAATTTGCAATATTTTATTTTACAATTAACGTTTAACTTCGAAATGTTCCACAAAATCAAACGCCTTTTCTCCATAGGCATCCTTATTTGGTTTTCACGAGATTTTAAAAAAAACCTAACCCTGGCGAATACCAATAGTTAAGTGTATCTTGTATAATTTGAGTTAAGTATTTTGAATTGGTAGTTTAAATCCATCAACAAATTATCACTATCAGTAAAATATTAGTGAACTTTTTGTAGCCTGATTTAACAGATCTGCAATGATTTATTTGAACATTAGCTTAAAAAAAACAAAAAAAAATGCTATTCATAAGAAAGAAGTTTTCTTTATGAAAAGGATTTATTGAAACTTATACATTTGCAGCATTATATACACAATCTTTATTGAATGTCTTCTTTTTGTAGGTATATTTCTGAATCGAGCGTAGTCACGATCCCATGTGCCAGAGCCGCACGAATAGAATTTATAAATTCCATGAATTTTTAGACAGTACGACACAGTTAACTTTAGTTGGCTCTCAACTTATCTGTGGCTTTACATTCGTAGAAATCTATCAAATACAGTACATAATATTTTTATTTACAACTGAATAAGCTGTTAAAATAATTGTTTTCAGGAATATTAAAACTTGCCTCGGGCCGGCACTGGTTTTATCTTCCTTTTACGCAAATGTAAAATTATTTTGTACAAAAGCTTATTCCTATTATTATAATATTTACTTACTTTTTCGTTTTATTTAGTATAGTAAAATTATAACATAAAATCAAGACCATTTGATTAATATTTTTATTTATTTTTTTTACAATTTTAATTTTTGTAGATGGCGACACTGATAAAATTGTTTATTTCATAAAAGAATTTGACACGTGCTTGCGATCGCGTTTTACTATTAAACTTATTAAAATTAAATTTTTAAGATGTGTTCAGTCGAAGACGGAAATGAAACTGTAGAAATAAAGACTAAGTGAGTTTAAATTGTATTTTACGATTTCAATGTTTTATGTATTGTCGATAATCTAGCTGATATTCTTTGGATAATAATAATATTTATTTGAATTGATAATTACACTGATAACTAATTGAATTTCAGTTCATCCAAATATGGATGACGCTGTTAAATCGTGACGGTAATAATACATGAAATGATGGCTAAGTGGTAAGGCCACTTAGCCATCTGAGCCACTGACAAGAACCCTAGATCTTGTGAACTAAAGATCTAGGGTTTTACCCTACTGAGCCTTTTAAATAAAATTGCTCTTAAAAAATGAAAGGAAAATCATGAAAAATCACAGTCTGTTTAGGAATTAATGGAACCTTTGTGAGATATTGTACTCCATAATTCTCTGAACATGGTTTAGACCAGTGTTTTTCAACCTGTAGGTCGCGACCCTCGGAGTCGCAAAGCCTTACACGGGGGGGTCGCGGGTAAAAGAAAAAGATAAGTGTTGGTAGGTCCTACACTGCAATAAAATAACTACAATCTCAGTGAGAAGGCTGTGCCTGTTTATTTTACAGTACATTTGGTTTTTTGATTGATATTTAGGTCTCAACAGAAAGAAACTTAAATACGTAGTTTTTAAAATCACTGATTTAGTTTTAATATGGCCCTGGGGGGTCGCCAGAATTTTTTAACTTGTAAAGGGGTTGCTTATTGAAGAAGGTTGAAAAACACTGGTTTAGACTTGTGACCTTAGGGCATTAGAATTGTACATTCTTTTCTAGTTGCTATGCATAAAGCAGTTTGTCTATATTGTATAATTACAGTAAATACTTATTTGTGCATTTTCAGTATGGTAAAATTGCAATTTCGAACGAGTGGTTTGGATCCCAAATTTGGCCTCCTAGACATCCAAAAAGTCAAAGGAACCATGTCTCTAATTATGACTCTTGATAAGACTAGGCTGCTTGTTAAACATGTGATAAGTTTAATGGTGCATACTGCGTGACTGTGCCCCAGAAGTAGCCGGTGCAATGGTGTTTCTTGTGTTTTATGATATTTTTAGCTGTCTCTAGTAAAGTGGGAAACAATTGATTTTTAGCATTGTTTTGCAAAATAGTTCTGGACTTTTTCACTTTTAAATTTTATCCCATTTTTGAGAGTTTTCAAAATTCCAGATAGGCTGATTTTGGGGTCTTATATCTTGCAGAGGAACCAATGGTATATATATACCATTGGTTTCTTTGACATTTTTTACTCCTGTGTGGCATGGTCTACTACTCTGATTACATTTCAACTGTCTCATTCAGAGCTGCATTTGTATTTTCACAAGGATACACAAATGTAATAGTTTTTAAACTTGATTATTATCATAGTTAATATAGATGTATTTTCATGAAATTTTGTGTGAACACTGACAGATATTGTAATGTGCAGCTAATGTTTTTGGCTGTGACAAACATTAGCTGCACATCAGTTATTTAATGTTCCTTGCTTTTCAAATGATTTACAAAATCTGATAAAATTTAAAATAATTGTAAAAACTTGAAACAGTACCTTAAAACATTGTTTAAAATTAATACTTCCCTCTCTATAACGGGGGGGGACAAAAATACTTATATGATATAAAGTTGTATAATCAACTCAATGAGGTTATTTGCTGATTTAGTTAGTGTAAAGGACTGATTTTACATGATATAGGCTACAATACAAAATTCGTCTGTTTACTGAATACATATAATGTATAGATTTATTAGATTCTATCTAACAAACATAATTTCTTCTTAAAAGTCTGTTCTATTTATTGCAAATAAAAATAAATTTTTTATTTCTGATTTTATTTTTTGTTTTATATAGGGTGTATCAGAATGATGTTTTAAAAATTTGGAGGATTGTAGAGGATGAAATTTTGAATGTTTTGATATAAGGAACCTATAGCTGGAAATTTGAACTAGTGTCTACAGCGGTAGGAAGTGCTTGACCACCTTTCACTGTGGTAGCTACCCTTCTGTCCATTGACATCATATTATTGCTGCGGAAGGAAGACTGTAAACACACAACTACAATGGTCTAACTGAGCCTGTGTATAGGACGTTGTGTACTTAGTGCTTGTCGTCCTTCAGGTCACCCCTTGTGTTTACTGGCATTGTGCTGCAAACACACAACTAGTCAACATGAGTCCCTTGTGTACGCAACACCTGTAGGAACAGTTCATGAGCTTACGGAGCACATCTTTGCAGCATTTAATACAATCAGAGGGGAGCATGGCATCTTACACAGAGTCGTACAAAACATGCATTTTGTTGCATTCTTCGTATGTAACAAAATTGGTGGTCGTCACATTTAACATTTACTCTAAAGTAGTGCAGCCACTGATTCAATGTACAGTTTGATTGTACTCTACTGTTTTGTCAATAAAACTTGTCATAAATACTGTATTCTGCTGTTTCATTCAGCATACTGATTGCATAGAACATGCAAAGTGCTGTAGAAACTTTATATCACATTTCTGGCTATAGCTTCCTTATATCAAAACATTCAAAATTTCATCCTCTAAAGTCTCCCAAATTTTTAAAACATTATTCCAATACACCCTGTATAAACACCTAAAATATACATGCATATATACTACAATATGTAAATGATTAGAAGTAACAAAATATTTTATTTTCCAGGGCTAAAAGTTTATGTAGAAGATGTAACGAAAAAGCATCTATAGTTCATGGAAAGGATTCTTTTTGTCGGTATGAATTTGAATGTTTTTAAAAATATATTTTCAGTATTTATAGATAATAAAAAAATCATTGAAAGAGGTCTGCTTTTGTTTCTTATACAATGTGATTGTAAACTCCCTCAGTAGTGGTCAGGGAAATGAGAGGATCTTCCTGGAACAAAGTAATGACTAATGACTCAGGCAGACCACATGTCGAAAGAGTTAAAGTAAGTTATGATGTCATCATATGGCCAAACCACTACAGAAGGACTTTATGATTGCACTGTATTAATATCAACTAGTATATAAATACTAGTTTTAAGAACTGAAAAATAAATAATTTATTTATTTCATCTATCTTTAGGCCATAATCTTTAATCAAAATATGGGGCAGTGTACCTGCATTGTACAGTATATGTAAATATAAAAAATGTTGACAATGACATGAGGAAACAAGCAGATGGACATTTGCTTTATATGTGAAATAGACGTTTTTAAAAAATTTAAAACATTTGTAATCTTAAATAAATAATAATAATAGTAATAAATAGTACCAATGTTAAAAATAATTATTTAACAGTGTATACACATACAGAGTATTTTGATAATTCCTTATAATACAATAACATTTTACTCTGTAAAATTTACAGTTTTATAAAAGTTTTTTAACTAAATTAAAAATTTTGTGCTTATCAGAGTATTTTTGACAAAAAATTATTAAAAATTTTAAAAAACTATAGAAAATTATTAGATTATCACTACTTTATCATCTAAGTAAAAGATATACAATGATAACATATATCAGACATTTATGCAATAATCAGTATTATTGCAATTAAAATTGTTTCTGGAGATGTTATACAAAAAACTGATTGATAAGCAGACTTAAAAAGAATTGAACAAATCATCAATTATACTATCCAAACTATTCCATTCCATTTTCATCTCTAGACATGTAAATTTAGAATTAGAAAACAATAAATGAAACATAAATCCAGTTAGTGTGAATGAAACAAGTTTTTATGATTTTTCAATGAATTGAAATGTTTTGTAATGTATTTAATATAAAAATTAACATAAAAGAATGTGTTTCAAAAAGACATTAGTCAGGAAGATAGTTAATCAGATGATCTAATAATTTTTTATTAATAAGCACTTGTTAGTTCCAAGTCATACAATGAATTTTCAAATAATGACATTAAGTTACAAATCATATAAATTTTCAAGAGTGTGGAATTAGACAATTTAAAAGAATTATTTTTACAAATATTTGGGATAATATGTTCTTTTCTGATAAAGCTGACTTTTGAAACTTTTGATATAATGAAGACAACAAAGTTCAAACATCTCAGTTTTGCATAGAAAATAACAAAGTTTTGCAATTGGAATTTATATATATATATTTATTCTTCTTGTGATTTATTAATTATAATAATAAATACATAGAGTAAATTATTTTCTTTTCAATATATCAATACATATTCTGGAATTTTGTTTATAAAATTGTTCAAAATGAAATCAGTGTAAGGAATTTTCATCATAACAAATTATTATTTATATTTACATTTTGCTGTTCTTAAATAAATAAATAAATAATTTTTAGTTCCTGTTTCTTGGCCTACTGTACACACAAATTTCGTGGAACATTAGGTAAATCTAAACAAATAAAAAGAGGAGAGAAGATCTTAATTGCATTTTCTGGTGGAATGTCATCATCTGCTATGTTACATATGATAAAAGAAGTAAGTAAATATTATACATTAAAGTGTTTTTGATAAATCTGAAACTTTAGAACTGTCAATTATTTATTTAAAGTTTCATTTTTTTCTTTTACATGCACTTATTTCATTGATACTTTACAGTTCTGATGAAAAAATTAGAATTTATTATTCTGTAGCTGTCCAGTACTTTATTGTTCTACAAAGATACATATATAATATACAAGTATTTTTTATTATATATTATCTCACTTTGTGACTTTGCTGTAATGTGATTTCAAAAAATCAAAATAGACTGTTAAATCACTATATGTCTATATCTACAATTAAACTACCCTACATGTAGTGGATTATAAATGTTCAGTCCTTCTCAGCTGGTAAATCTGAACCATTACAAAGAATAATTTTGTTGTTTTTAATTATAATAAACCCTGAATAGATCCATAATAGACCATATTTTATGACCAATCCTTTAACAGAGTTGAAACTTGCCAATCCACCAAGCCAGATCATTCAAAGGGATGAGGAAAGAACCAGACTAAATTCTTACTTTGGTTGATTCATCTGATTAAATTTTAAGTTACAGATGTACTAATTAGAAAAATACTGTTATATTTCTATCTAAATTTTAAGTAATTATTTTTATTTTGGAAATGTGTGCCTATATATCCATGTAAAAGTTGATTTGCTTTATATGACTAGTTTATGTGATACTTTCTTGAAACGGTTGTGTAATCTGGGGATGTATAAATCAGATTTATTAGCCTAATTAATAATTAAATATTATTTTTTCTGTAATTTTTACATTATATACTGCAAGTCCTTATTTATCTCAAATATATATCTAATTTATATATAACTATATTAGTTACTATAATTATAAATATACATTTAAATTTTCTCACTTGTTTTGCATAAAAACTGAAATGCAGAAAAAATAATTTAGAGTAAATTCTGATTTTTTTCCCTTTTATTAATGATAGTCTCTTATAAAAAGATTTGAAAGATTGTAACAATTATTGATTTAGTTATAAGTTTAAAAATAGTCAAAGTTATAATTAAAACATTTTGAATTTTAATTATTATATTAAAATTATTATTATAATAATAATTTATTTCCAAGGAAATTTTCCCCTATTTTGGGGGGTATACCAAATAACAATATAATTTAACATTTTACTTTACATGATTGTATAATAAGAAACACAATAAAAAATTAATTAGTAAGTCATCATGACTTGACAATATAATATTAATTAATGTTTTAAACAACTTAGAGAGAGTAAAATTTATCTTAATAATACATTTTCTGAATTTAGGTTGTAATGTTGAGCCAGTGGTTAAGTATTACAAGAAATTTTTTCAGAATATTTTACAAAAAAATTAAAAATTTTATAAGCATCTTTTTTATTGATATTATTTAATTTATTTTTGAAGTCGATAGGTGAATCTATACAGCAGATATTTTTGATATTGCATTGTTCACGTATATTATCCAAGGGTTGGCAATTTTGCAGGAGGTGAAGCACAGAAAAATCCTCTTGTTGACATAACAGGCAGCGTGTATTTAAAAGATTTATATAAGTATTATTAATTAGAATCGAATATTTATTTAGTCGTAATTGAATTATTAATCGTTTTACATTCAGATCAAGTGGTAGCCATATATAGGGTTGGAAGGAAGGGATATTTAAAATATTGTTGTACCAAGGGTGATAATTACATTGGTTTAAAGAAAGTTGATCTCTGTTGATTGATTGAGCAATAGCAGAATCCATCAACAGGGAGTAACCATATTTCCAATTGAATATTCTTGAATTGAGTCTGTAAATAATTGTTCCGACACTCCAAAAGTATTTAATATTCTTCGAATTTTGTAGTGCCATAACTGTTTATTATTGTTGTTTTTACTTTGTTTAGCCATTTCTTGATATAATAATCTAATATTTTCATCGCTTTTATATTTAAGTCTATAGTAAAATTTTATAATTCTTTTTAATAATTGAGGAAAGATCCAAGAACGTGATGTTTCGTGTCGAATGGCATATCCAGGTATGGTTTTTTCTAATTGTAGTAATTTACGTAAGAAGTAAATATGCAGAAATTCAAGGCTGTAGATATAATCCAAACCCCAAATTGGACTGGCGTAATAAATGATAGGACTTATTGTAGTATTATAGAGTTTAAGATGAATGTTTAAATTTGATGTTTTCATTGTTGAACATAAAAATAAGAGGTTATCGATTGCCTTTTTAACCCGAACATTTAATTTTAACACTTGATATTTAAAGGTTAAGTTCCAATCAAATTCTACTCTTAAATATTTGACTTCATTAGTTATTTGCAGTAGAGTATTTTCATGATAAATTTTCGAGTCCTTATCAGCTAGTTTTTTATTTTTACGAAAAATGACAATGTTAGTTTTTGTAGGATTTATTTCAAGATAAATTGAGTTGAGATATTGGTTGAGTTGATTGATTTTGCGTTGCAGAGATATTTTATTAGGAGCTAAAATAACTAGATCATCGGCGAAAAGGATATAATGAAAAGAGATATTGTTTATTTCAATGCTATCTGAGGAGTAATTAAAGAGTTGGTCAATGTCCCTTAGATAAAAGTTAAATAGATATGGTGACAGTGGGTCTCCTTGAAGTATTCCACGTGAAAGATTTAGAGGTAGAGATATCGAGTTTCCTTGTTTAATTCTTATAGTATAATTTCCATATAACTTTTTTATTATAGATGTGAATTTAACGCTTGCACCACTAGCTTTTAATTTGTTTATTAATAAAGGTACATGAATTGAATCAAAAGCTTTTTTAATGTCGATAAATGCGGCATAAACTTTCCTATGTTTTTTTATAAGATGCAATTGAATTATCATTAGTAAAATAAATATGGCAGATTCTGTTCCTTTATTTTTTTTGAAGGCATATTGAAATTTAGCTTCTAATTCGTTAATTTTGGTCCATTGTTGAAATCTATTTGCTAACATAGAGGTAAAACATTTTCTTAGCGTTGATAGTAGTGCAATGGGTCTATAGTTATTTGGTGATGATTTATCACCTTTTTTATATATCATGGTTAAATTAACTGTATTCCAGGAGTCAGGAAAAGTAGATGTTTTGTACATAACATTATAAAGATGAAGTAATTTTGATCTAGAACTGTTAGACATTAATTTTAAAAATTTCGTAGGAATATTATCATAACCTGGAGTTGTATGGGTTTTAGTTTTTTGAATTGCGTTATTTAATTCGTCAATTGTGAAGTCGGCATCCAGATGTTCGTCATAATCTTTTGCGTTATTAATTATTGGAGGTTTTAAATAAATACTTGGATAATGTTGAAAAAAATTTTTCCAGGTATCAAAATCGATAATTGGAGAGATTTCATTTATACATGGTTTTGGTCGATATCTCCTTACAATAGACCAAAAAAATTTATTATCCTTATATACAAGTATTTTTTATTATATATTATCTCACTTTGTGACTTTGCTGTAATGTGATTTCAAAAAATCAAAATAGACTGTTAAATCACTATATGTCTATATCTACAATTAAACTACCCTACATGTAGTGGATTATAAATGTTCAGTCCTTNTTTCATTTATACATGGTTTTGGTCGATATCTCCTTACAATAGACCAAAAAAATTTATTATCCTTATTACATTGAATTAGATTTAATTCAAGCTTTCTAAAGTAATTTTTCTTTTTTGTCTTAATTAAGTTATTATACATTCGTTTAGCTTCCTTATATTTGTTATAGTTGATTTTGTTTGAATTTTTTCTGAACATTTTTAATTTTATTAATTTTTCCTTTTTCGTTTTGTAGCAGTCGTAATCGAACCATCCCTGTCCAAATTCTTTGTGAAATTTCTTTCTGTCGCTATCCACAATTATGTAATTATTCATTATATTTATCATTAAGTTATATATTTCTTCACTGTTGCATTCTGTAATTTTCGGGATGTTATCTAATCGGTTTTCAAATTCATTGGCGTATCTATTTGATTTATATTGTAAATTTGTCTTTTTATTTAAGGTGTTTTTAGAATTTTTTCCCAAAAATAATAAAAAGGTTGCTTTTGTAGGAAGATGATCCGAAATATCAAATTCAAGAATTTCAAAATTCGAACAATAATCCAATAACAATTCAGAACATATCGTATAATCTATAGTTGATCTTCCATTGTGAGTTAGGCAAGTATATTCTGCAGAAATATCGTTCTTAAGTCGTCCATTAAGTATATACATTTTAAGGTTTTTTATTACTTCGATTAACTTTTGACCGAGGCTATTTAAGTACTTATCCAAAAGATAAGTACTTTTTTGATTGTCGGTTATTTTGTATTAAAAAGTTGTTACCAGTGTATTTGGAGTCCATTTTCTCTGCAATCCTCGCATTGAAGTCACCCACTATTATAGAGTAAGGAGTCGTATATTGCCAAAGTTCTATTTGTTTAGATATTTTGTTCAATGTTGATATGTCTTCAGGTGGAATGTATGTGAGCATCAGAGTTATTAGGTTATTCATATTATTAATAAAAGTTGGTTTCATAAACTGGATGAGGAGTAGAATGAAGTTATTAGATTTTTTTGACTGTAGAATTTTACAAAGACCTTTTTTTATTAATAAGCAAAGACCTCCACTAGGACGGCCTGGGCCTATTGATTTTTTTGCTAAAGTTGATTCTGTTGTAAAATTTTCAAAGAGGTTTGAGTTGTAGATTGATTCTGAAGTTATCCAGGTTTCGGTTATTGCAATAATATCCGGATCGTATTTCGATTTAAAAACGTTTAATTGTGAAATTTTATTTTTAAGACCTTGGCTATTCCAATTTATTATTGTTAAAGATTGATTATTAGAATATGGTTTGTGGAATTGAGTTTTCTCACTCCTGTTGATCTGTCATTTAGTTAAGGCCGTTATTCTTGATGATGGAAGAAACGTATCAACATGTACCAGTTTTCCCATACTTAAGCTGTAAGTTATCTTTTCACGCTCAATTATTAAAATATCGTTTCGTAATTTCACCTGGGGATTTTGTTTTCGTAGTTCATAAAAAGTTGGTAGGAGAAATTTACGTCTAGTTCTTGAATTATTGGTTATATCCGGGGAGATCTGTACTTTTTGCCATTCTTCAAGAAGATTTTGTTGTTTACTACGTATAAATGAAGAAAAGATAAGATCTCTCATGTGGTTATTCTGAAAGGTGATTCTAATTGTTAAGTTTGAAGTTTTCGATAATTGAATTATCTCAAGTATATCCTTTTGAGTTATTTCTTGTAAATTTAATGTATTAATAATAAAGTTAAGTATTTCTGCTTTTGAAATGTTTTTATGATTTGGATAGTTGTACATAATTATATTANAATAACTATTTTTGATAAAGTGTTTAAATGAATTTGCATTCAAATTTTTAATTAAATATAAACTGGTTGTAAGAAATTCTGTGATTTATTACTGTAATTTCCTAATATCAGTGATTTTTAATGTGTGATGTGGTCACAGTTTACTTAGAGGAAAGCAAATATTCTTTTTTAGTTTCCAAGCTTAAATTACTGGTAATTGAAAGTGTAGTTAAGAAAATGAGTGAACACAACAGATATAGCTATTATTATAAATATCCTTACTGTAAGTATATAATGGGTGGACAAGCAAGAGTTCAGTGGGAGCTGAAATGTAGGTTTTGCAAAATGCAAGGGAGCCGCAGTTCTGTACTTTTTTATTCTGTACCTCAGTTCTGTACAGTGATTTTATTATATAATATAAATATAATATAAAACAAATATTGAAATTTTTAATAAACATATTTTCAAAAATTTGTGGAAATAAAATTGTAAAAACAATAATAAAAAGCAGAAATTATCACTTTCAGCAAGAGCCACATGTAACTCAAAAAGAGCTGCATTTGCCCATGTCTGGTATATAACATATACTCAATTTTGTGAAAGTTGCAAATGAAATTACAAATCATTCAATAAACATAGAAAATGAACTAAACATCCTAAAAACACACAAAAACAACTGTTTAATGAGTTCCTAATTTTAAGTATATTTTATAAGCTTATATAATTTCCTTTTATTATTATTGGATATCCTGAAGTGAAAAAATACATGAAACAAAATTTTGGTCATTCCAACAATTTTTGGTTAATGTTTATGAACAACAGCATTTTTACTTTCTTACCAGAAAGGCAACTTGCCTGTCATTTAATCATGCTTGTCACAATTTAAAAAAGGAAATAGGTAACAGATTATTAATTACATGATCAACACTCCAATGATTGCACTTTCCTTAAGTAACACAATCATGGTTTACAACTGTGATTTTTACTTTTCTGGCTCTGTTATGTATAACAGAGGGAAAGTGTGGCAATTGGTCAAAAAATGACCACCTCAGATTTTTATATTTTCAGACTTCGGATTTTGAAACATCGAGAAATGAAAAAATATTTGGGGTTTTTTTTATATGTATGGATGTTAGTGTGTGTATGTGGGCAGACGTAATTTTGTTCACCCTCTTTGAAACTTAATGACTCCCTGTGCTTTTTGTTGAACATTTCTGAAATTTTGCAGGGAGGTTTGTATATTAGGGGGATTGATGCTATTAAATTTTGATGATTAAAGGTTGAGGAGGTGGAGAGATAAAGGGGGTTGTATATCATGTCTCTAGTAGGATCAGACTTAATGACTATTTTACTCATTAGCATTTATAATGTTTTTAAAACTTTAAAATTCACCCCTACCCTTGAAATTAAGTTTTTTTGCCATTTTATAATAGTTAAAAATATAAAGTTTTTTAATAAAATATGATAACAGATGGTGCTGGAAAGTTAAGCAACTCGTTGCTGTATTTTTTTTTACTAGCATTTGTTGAACTAAAAATAATTCTATTTTCTTTATCTATAGCAAAATTTCTCAATAGTGGCCATCTGCAGGAATTGTAAAATATCTGCTATTGAGAAGTACTAATTATTAGGAAGAAACCAGAAAATGAGTTTATAATTTTCAACATTTTAAAGTTATTATACAAGCTTATAAAATTAATTTTTAATCTTTTTAGATGTTTACATAAAACTAAAAAGAAAATAGTCCAAACTTGTATGTTTTTTCATATTTCTATTTGTATGCAATGCTCTTTTAAAGTTTTGATTTCCTCATTCTTTGTTCAAAACTTGACTTTTTTCCTTGTTTGTTTTAGCTGACAAATTACATACACTTAATTTTTACTAAATCATCTTTTTACTTCAACACTAAACATTTAATTTCTGAGACAGATGTCATTTTAAGTTTTGAACTTTATTTCTTAAATTTTAATTATATTTATTATTTCATATTTTATTGACGTATTAGTTTAAAGACAGAAGTTTCATTTTAAAATATTTTAGGCTTTGATCCCAGATCTGTTTGATTGGGATAGTGTAAATATTATATCGATTTGACATCATTATTTAAACCTGTTTATTAAGAGTTTTACTACACTATATACAAATTTGTTGTGATTTTTTTATGAAAAATTTGAATACATAAATTAATTTAAAAAATAAATTATATGATTTACTTTTAATATATAATTTATTTTATTTTGTAACTGTAGTTATTTATATGACATTAAATTAGTTTTATTACATATATTGTTAAACTTTAATGTGTTTTTATGTACTAATTCAGGGGTTAAAAGAAGCTTCACACAAAAGACTAAGTTTCCATCCTATTTTACTTTTCATTGATGGTAAGTACATAAATTTCTAGATACAATTTATTTATAATAACTTGAATGGATTAATATATATGATGAATCCCATTTTATTTACATTTCTATTTATAAAACTTAGAAAAGTATAAAAATTTGGCAATATAATGCAGAAATTATGGATAATCTATAACTTTATAGGTTTTATTTAATATTTTGGAAGCTATGGTCATGTTTAGAAAGTAATGGATTTCAATCTATCCAATAGATAAGATAAATCTAATATTCACTTCAGTTTGCATATTTAAAGTGATATGGACAATCAGGATGTATCAGTTTCAATATTTCATTATCAATGAAACAATATGCAATATACTTTGTTTTTGATTTTAACTTTTGTTCTTCATTGATGGCAATTGAGACAATGTTTTTTGTAGTTGTCTTCTTATCATTTTAAAAATAGAATTTTCTCCATTTTTTTGTTTTATATTTTGAACAAAAAATCATGGAATTAAATTATAACTTAACATATTTTCAGGAAGCTGAAAATTGAACATTAACCTAATGGCTATAGCTATATCAATACTTTCCAAAGTTTCATGTTGAGCCATTTGGTTAAATATGAAACTTTGGGAAGTACTGCTATAGAGTAACATTGATCCAAAAGAAAAATATTAATGTATATAAAATTATTTCTTTTAGATATGTAGTGTATAAATGTTGAAGAGTCAAAAATAAATTAAACTTTTAATATAACTTTTATTATGTTAACAATATGAATATTTGCAGAAATACTCACATTGTAAACATAACATTGTTCTACCTTTAAAATAAGCACTTTCTATAACTACATACTTCTGCCAACATTCATACTACTTATTAAAACAATCTTTCACTTCAATGTGTTATCTCTTTGATTGAAATCATTACAGCGCTTTTCACTTCTGCTGATTTGAATCTGACCTTTCAGCAGAACTTTCATTTTATTAATGACATGAAAGTCTGCAGGAGTGAGGACAGGTATTGTACATAAAGAGGATGTGGAAGTATGGATATCTGATGTTTTCAGATATTCACTAACTAGCAAATACAATGCATTGTCATATTGGAGAATCCACTTTTTTGCTTGACAGAGATGGGACCATTTTTTTCATTTTACTGCATGTCAGAGGCAATTGATAATGTCAATTTAGGACTTAATGGGTCTACCATTGTAAACAAACTTTTAATGTACCAGGCCTTTTACATTAAAAAAATATCTGAACAAAATGAAAAGGTGCTGCAACAATTGTACTTAAAGAGGGAATGCAGAAGAGGTTGAAAGTTTTCAAAGTATATAGCTGCAGAAAGTACTTATTTTAAAAGTGGTGTTTTATAAGTACTTCTAAAGTTATTATAATAAAAGTTATATTAAAAGTTTGACTTATGACTCTACCACATACTATATATAAGAATGTGAGAACACAGTTTTTAAAATATGACTTTGTTGAGTTGAAGAGATGGTAATTTTGATATAATTTTGACACTAATATCACTAACATCATTATGTATAAAATATTAATATAATCCATATTTGTCTGATTATCCTGCTTTTGTTGTTTTTTTTTTCATTTTATTTAATCAATTGAACAAATGTTCATTATAATTTATTTTATTGAAATTGAATATAATTTTTGTGTATAAACTTACTTTATTTATGATATAATTTGAATTATTTAATTACAAAAGTAATAAAACCTAATAGCATAACTAAAATATTTGTAGATCTTATACAACATGTAAATTTAATAAATTTGATTAAGAAATAAATATTGTCACTTAATAATTTATAAAATAAGTTAACAACAATTAAAAAAATAATTATTAATTTAATAGAAACTTCAATTTTTTCAACAATCAATGATGAAAATGAAGAAAATAAAGAAATTTATAAAGTTATGTTGGATATTGGATTTCCTTCTTATATTACTAGATTAGAAATGGTAATGTATCTTTTTCAGTTATTTTAGGCTTATATTTAGGCTTAGGCTTATATATATATAATATACTGAAATATATATATTTCAGTATATTATATATGTTACCGGCAAAGTATGAAAAGCCGGCATTCTATAGAATACCTACATTGTATATAATGCCTGGCGTTTTTAGACAATCTATGAAATATGAGAATTATTACATACTTTCCCTAGGAATTGTATATAATACCTAGGCATTCTATAGAATGACAAATGCTATTTAGGCAAAGTATGAAAAAAGGTTCTGATAAGGCTATTATATAAATGACGTGCATTCCTCAAAAATACAAATGTTATTCTGAAAAAATAATGAGAGTGCCATTAAAAAAATTTATTCAAAATACGTAAAGAAAAATGAAAGTTGTACAAAACAAAATTTATGCCTTTCTTATTAAGGGAAACAAAATTTTCATATAAAAAATTACAATTAACCTACTTGTTGCAACATGGTAGGCTTGAATGACATTTTGAATTACATTTCATTACATTTTTCACGCAAAGACATTTCATATTTTGGCACTTTGTTTTACACATACATTTGACGAATCCTTGGCCGCTTCCACTGGACTGAGCAATTGCAACTGACCGGAGAGGAATTTCATGGTCAGGAATATCTTCAATTCTAAGCAAGTTCTTGGGGCATGGAGTGAATTGTGATCTCGCATATACTTGTTTTAAAATTCCTTCAGAAGTTCCAAGTCGGTAGAAACCATCCTCTGTCACACTCATTACAATTGCCAATATATTGCGCGAATCACCTCGCCCCTTGTCGACGTCAGGAATAGGAACTCGCACAGTAGTTCCCAAAGAAGCAGTGGGAAATTTTTTTTCCGAATTTATTTTCATTTTTTGGCTTGTATTTCCAGATTGATTTTAGAATTTATTTTACCTTCAATAGCATTTTCAGTTTTGAAACAAAGGGTGCACAAAATATCCATTTCATCATCTTTACTAGCATGGCCACAGAAGGTATGAATTTTTTGACGACATTTTTTGCATGCAAGTGCATCACTTGTTTCCTTTAAACACACACAACAGGTATCAGAAACGGAAATCTCTTCAGTAAGCATGTCTTCATCGTGTTGGTTTACTCCACTAACGACTATAATCTCATCTTGCGTAATCTGATTAGTTTCACCTTTTTCCATTGTTTTGACGCTTTCTATTACTTTTTCTAGCTGCTCCTCTGTATTTATGTCTTTTAATTCTGGTAGAAAAGAAAGCCCTACTTTAGGTTTGCAGCCAAAAAGAGCTTCGTATGGTGTTCTTTTGATCCCAGAATGATAAGCTCTATTTTTCATAAATTGAACGAAACGTAGTCCTTCACTCCAGCGGTCAGATTTGTTGTCCTGCATCCAAGTACAGAGCATATTTTCGATATCTTGATTAGCTCTTTCGACACTACCCTGGCTTTGTGAATGGCGAGGCTTCCCATGGACGATCTTCAGTGCTGGCCAAAACTCCTTCAAGCTGGTCACCACATTATTCGCAAATTCCCTACCATTGTCAGACTGTAATATAGACGGCGCTCCAAGCAACGAGAATATGTCCACTAGGTTGTAGGCTACTTCTTCAGCTCTTTTCGACGTTAGAGACTTAAGAATCACAAATTTTGTGAGATGATCTTGGTACACCATAATAAATTTGTATTCTCTATCTGGCTGAGACTGAAAGTCAATAAGATCTACTTGACAACGGGAATTAAATTCGGAAAAAATCATAGGTTTCACAACAATGCCCTTTTTAATACCTTTCTGTTTTTTCTGGCAAGGTTCACAAAGGTGGATGTACAGTTCAATATCATGACGTGTAACATTTTTGTATTTGATTGAAAGTTCTTTCAACATTCTATCACGTCCTCCGTGTCCAATAGCCAAATGAGCTTCATGAAGTACGTGAAATAACTCTGAGTCCGTGACGTAATACTGTATAGTACTGACGCCTTCTTTAACAGGATAAATGAGTTTACTTTTGTTTTCTACAATCATCACATCATAGCGATTCAGCAACCAATAGTCCCTGGGTTCCTTCTTAGTAGTCATTTTGGCTTTTTGTACATCATTTATTAACTTCTGGTAAGTAGTTTCGGTTAAGAAAATACTGTTTTTTGCAGCATTAACTCGAATTTTGCACAGTTCATCATCGAATCGTTGTTTCATGTCTATAGACCATGACACCTTCTCCAACACTACAGCTTGCTCCTCCATTTTCATGGACCACAGTAAAAAACTAATTTTTTGTTGAACAAATTTAAGTAAAATTGTGTATTTTGACACTCCCGAATAAACCGCAAAGTGCAACTGACAAATTCTAAGCCTGAGCCGCTCGTTAAAAGTCATGTGCCTTGCCACGTGATATTTGAAACTAAACGGAGATGTATTTCATACTTTGCCGGTTTCTCATTTGGCATTCTATAGAATGCCTAGGAAATCTATAAAATATAAATCATTTCATAGATTGCCGGCTAGTTTTAGGCATTATATACAATGCCTAGGCATTCTATAGAATGCCGGATTTCAAACTTTGCCGGTAACATATATAATAAAATTCTCTAAGCCCAATACTAATAGCAAATTTTTCAGCTTGATTTATTAAGGCATTCATTTGGTTGATCAAAATATTGTAATTGGATATAAATATGAATGAATGATGATTGAGTAAAAAGATAATAAAGTGAAGTAAAACCTGCATATAATATGAACCCATCTGCATCTTCTTTGAGGCAGGAAAAAACACATTGTTGGTAATTTATGGGACAATCGCTCAGAAAGGAGCATGACCCTACCTTGGGGAAAGCAGTGGTGTTCAACAACCCCCAAAATCCAAATCATTTCCCTAGCAAGAGGTCAGGGACCAATGAAGATGTGACCAACCAGTTCAGAACAACGAGAAATTGAGATTTTGGAAGAAAATGGGATAAAAACTCAGACTTTCAAGGACACGAGGAGGTTATGGTTGAGGTTGCACTATAATTAGATGCACTGCTACAAGAATATACTGAAATATGTTTTTTTAATTAATATCTTACTCAAAATATTTTAATCAATACACACTGTTTATTTCTTTAATGAAAAATACAATACTTCAACCAAATGATTGCTTTAAACCAGGGGTTACCAAGCTTTTTTCACAGTGGGCCAGATAACTGAGAGAATGTGACGAGCACAGGCCACATAACCATTTTGTTCAATACAATACACTGAATACACAAAATATAGACAACCAACATATTTATTTAACAATACACAAACACAATTGCTGCAGCAAGCTTGTAATTGCTTTTCTTAGAAACTTCATTGCAGGTACTTACACAAAATGCACTCTGATATGTTACATTTTCATAAAGAGGATGAAGACTCGGGACTACTCATTGGTATTGCCCGAGTGTGAAGAAGAGTAAAGGAAAGGTAGTTAAGGGAAGAGGTGAAGGGGAAAGAGTAAAGCGAGATAGGAAAGGGGATGAAAAGGGAAAGTTTCATGGGCGCCCAGCCTGTTTTATTAAGAATCAAATGAAACATACAGATATGGCTCCTGGCCATCAGATACAGACAATAATTGCAATATTTACAGTATGTACAATTGAAGACAGTTTGATTACACGTAGTTTGAAAACAATTTTAACCGAAAAAACAGAAGAACATAAATCAAATCAATATTTTGAACAAATACAGTTCTTGCCTGTCAGAATACAGACGATAAATAAACTTTTAACAAAATATTTTAAGGAAAATGATTACACACAGAATGATCAAATTTACTAATCGAAAATACAATAGTAATTAGACAACATTAATTAATGTATTAATCAAATATGGCTTCTCGCCATCAAAAAACATAAATTATACATTGATGAAATCTGAATCTTACAGTTATCACCGAAAGTAAAGTATTACAATAAATTAACTTAAACTATATATCGAAAAGGTTATAACAAATACGGCTTTTCGCCGTCTAGTACAAAATAATTAGAAACAAATGTAGGGGCAACTGAACCATGTAGATCGATAGAGGGTGTAGAGACAAGAACACTAATGTGTTCTTTTAAAGTTCGTCTCAAGCGCTTTAGTCTTCTTAATAAAAGTTTGAAGTTCATAAAAGAGTTCTTTTTCAGTTACGAGATGGTGTAGTTCGCATGGCCAATTGAACCCGTGTTGCAATGTTTGTTGAATTAAAGAGCTTCTTTCTCTGTTATAGTTGCTGCAGTAGAAGATCAAGTGATCGACATCTTGGACCGATGCACCATCGCAACTGCATGTTTCTTCGTCGGAAAGACCGAATCGATGAAGGTAGTGCTTCAGATTCCCATGTCCGGTGAATGTCTGTGTCATGATGTAACCAATATTCAAATGTTTCATGGCAAGGCGCTGTTGAATACATGGGAAAAATTTAAAGGTGATTCTTCCTGTATCACCATTTTCCCAATCCACTTGCCACAGCTGAAGGGCAGTTTGTTGAATCAGATCCTTGATGTTTTTCTTGGTAAGAGCAGTATAGATGATCTCACCATTCTCATTAGCATGCTTTTTCGCTAGTCTATCTGCTTCTTCATTTCCCTGCACCCCGCTGTGGCCTTTAACCCAAGCGAAGCTGATTTTATAGTTGTGTATATTCTTCAACTTATTCCGGATGTTATTTATCATATCGCAATCAAAATAGTCACTGTTGATACGACGAAGTGAGGTTTGGCTATCCGTACATATACGTAGATGTCCTTTGTAGTCTTTCAATGTGTAAATGTAAGAGATAGCTTGAAATATAGCGTACAATTCGGCATCAGGAACAGAGCAATAGCTGGCTAGTTTAAAGCCGGCTTCATGTTTGAAGTTTGCATTGCCATGTTTAAAATGAATAAAAGATGCTCCTACATTTCTGTTGTTTTTGGAACCATCCGTAAAGATAAAGTTAGTAGGGTATGGTTCTGCATTAATATCAGTGATGTCAGCCTTGTAGTTATTTGTTGGGTG